ACACTTTATTACAATCTGGGGAGGACTATGATACACATGTGACCACACTGTTTATATGTGCCGTTTAAACACATCTGAAACAATAATCAGATGTGCATATTTACTTTTGCAGTTTATAATGTTTCTGATTACGTTGATTTAAATGCATTTTTGGAGGGAACATGACATCATGGGGTGGGGCCGGGCACATTTTACTTCACTCTGATTGGTGGATGATTTTCTTAAATAGTTTTCCAGTTTCTGTCACAATTTGTTACATGCCTGATGAAGGGGTCCTGCGAGACTCGGAAACGTTGCCTTGCTGTAACTGTGATTGTCCATTAATACTTTTGGACCCATATTGTTGATCCTCGGTGTGCTGGTGACATTATCCCAATCTGTCACCAAACACAACAGGAGTTATAACTTTTTACTATGTAGCAATGAATGTGTATGCCTCGTCAACTGGGGGAGTGCTTGGAAGCCCCCCACCCTCACCAAATGCAAGTGTAAGCCTAGCCTAGCTGCTCTGAAGCTTCTGTGAATCTTGTGATTGAGACAATGACTGCTTGTATTCAACAGGGACTGGACAAGATTTGATCCATCTATGGGCAGGCTGATTGTACCCATGTCGATCCAATGATCAACTTGGGTACAACCAGCCTGTCAGATTTGTAGCATGCGTTTTGTCGTCAGCCGCAAGCAGTAATCATTGTGTTCTCCCCGTGCCCCCCTGCAGGGAGAACACAATAGCTCCACTGGAGGGATTCCCCCATCAACATTTTCTTTCCTGCAAGCTATGGCTTGCCTTAGAGCAGGGGCCTCCAAACTTTCTAAACAAAGGGCCAGTTTACTGTCCTCCAGATTTTTTGGGGGCCAGATGGTCATCGGGATCAGAAATTGTCCTGGTATCAGTGGGAGTAAACAATGCATCTTTGGTATTAGGGGGAGGAATAGCGCCCCATCGTTGGTGTCACTGAGAGGAATAGCGCCCCATTGTTGGTATCAGTTGGAGGAATTATTATTATTATTATACAGTATTTATAAAGCGCCAATAGTTCGCTCAGCGCTGTACATTACAAAGGGGGACAGAACATATGACAGAACAATACCAATACAATGCAAAACATGAGGGGATTGAGGGCCCTGCTCTTTCGAGCTTACAATCTAGGAGGGAGGGGATAGTGGTACAGGAGGAGATAGCTGTGGGGGATGGAGTGGTAGGAAGAGTGGAGGAGGTCGGCAAGTTAGCAGGGGGTGGGGTAGGCTTCCCTGAAGAGATGGGTTTTTAGGGTGCGCCTAAAGGAGAGGAGAGTAGGTGATAATCTGATGGGTTGGGGCAGGGAGTTCCAGAGGATGGGTGACACCCTGGAGAAGTCCTGGAGGCGGGCATGGGAGGAGGAGACCAGGGAACTAGAGAGAAGGAGGTCTTGTGAGGAGCGGAGTGTGCGTGTTGGGCGGTACTTGGATATTAGGTTAGTGATGTAGTTCGGGGCAGTATGGTGGACAGCTTTGTACATCAGTGTTAGGATTTTGAATTTGATCCGTTGCGCAATCGGAAGGCAGTGGAGGGATTGGCAGAGGGGGGTGGCGGAAAACGGAGCAGTTGGAAAGGTGAATGAGTCTGGCAGCCGTATTCAGGATCGACTGAAGCGGGGATAGCCAGCGGCGAGGCAGGCCAGTGAGAAGGGAGTTGCAGTAGTCAAGTCGTGATATGATGAGGGAGTGGATGAGCTGTTTAGTGTTTTCTGGGGTTAGGAACGTGCGGATTTTAGCGATGTTGTGGAGGTGGAATAGTGCCCCATTGTTGGTGTCAGTGTGAGGAATAGTGCTATATCATTGTGTCAGCGGAAGGAATAATGCCCTATCATTGGTGTCAGTGGGAGGCATAGTACTCTATTGTTGGTGTCAGTGAAGGGAATGGTGCTCCATGATTGGTGTCAATGGGAGGAATAAAGCCCCATCATTGGTATAAGTGGGAGGAATAGTGCTCTCTTGTTGGTGTCAGTGGAAGGAATAGTGATCCATGATTGATGTAAGTGGGAGGAATCGAGCCCCATCATTGGTGTCAGAGGGAGGAATAGTGCCCTATCACTAATGTCAGTGGGAGGAAAAGTGCCTCATTGTTGGTGTCAATGACAGGAATAGTGTCGGTTGTTGAGGTACGTATGGGAGGAAATGTACCCTATGGGCCAGATAAAAACAAGCAAAGGGCCGAATCCGGCCCCCGGGCTGCAGTTTGGAGACCACTGCCTTGGAGCATTCTCAGATAGGGATTTTAATTTGTGACCGATTTCTTCAGTTCAGCATTTACCAAATACTCTCTATACATCTCCATTCTCCTTTCTTTGCTGCTTTGAGTAATAATACTATATAACAGGATACAAAGTGACAGCTGTATATCGTCTACATTACTGTATTCAGTCATTTTTTTGAATGCAGGCAACCTCCATTACAAGGTCAGGCAAACAGTCATTACTGCAGAGACTCTATTATTTTTAGTACGCGTTGTAGATGAGATGGAAACCCAATTTTAATACACTGACGCACATTGCTAAGGTCGTTTATATGACCGTGATCACTTTCACATCTAGATCTAATAAGCTATTAAAATTCCTTGTGTTACTAAACCCATAACCCTGATTTCACTATATCTGGTCTCCCACAGTACACAGAACATGGAAATGCAATTATTTTAGTAAATATAAACTGCTAAATACCTTTTCTCCTCAGCAGTTAGAGCAGTCTTGTGACTTCTATCAGTGTCCAGCAGAGCACTGGTTAAATAGCTGCAGCCATTGTCAGATTGACATTGCATTGGGGTTGATTTGCTGCAGCTCTCTGCATACACCTGTGATTCCAGATGCAAAAATCAACTGGAATTCGCAGGATGTCCTAACTTGTGTGATTGAACCTTAGAAACCATACATTAGGATGGCCAGTGGGAGGAGAGAAAAAAAAACATCTATTATCCTCCCCCATCAGCAATGAATATACCTGGTTCTATAGTTGCTGACTTTTTAATTATTTTTTTTTTTTAGGACACTGAAGATCCTCTTTAAACACTTGGCTAATTGTGCTGTTTTATAAACATTGGTTGGTAGAATGGGATTATAACCACTTGAGCTTTGAAAGGGCATATTTTTTTTTTTGTTGTTGTTATTCAGCACTGTGCTATTTTAAGTGGCATTTGCTCGGTCATGCAACACTGCTATTTTTTTTAACACAACTGTATTTCATTTGGGTACAGTGTGTTGATAAAAGTGAATAAAGCTCAAAATCCTTCTAATAGCTTTTATTTCCATACACACAAATGCATTGGGAACACTACACATTCTATTCCAAATCAAAACATGAAGAAAAATATATATCAAATTTGTGTTGTTCCTCTAAAAAAAAAATTGAAGAAAAGTGAATATTAGACTGTTCATAAAAATAGCAGTGTTTGTATTCTTCTTTACAAACTCAAACATTCACTATATAAACTGAAAACTGTTAGAAGATTTTGCTTTCCTTTGAATCACTTAATGAATATTTAGTTGTATAAGCACTGCTTTCTGAGAACTGCTGTACATCTGTGTTGCATGGAGTCAACCAACTTCTGGCACCTGTGAACAGGTATTCTAGCCCAGGATGATTGCACTACATTCCACAGTTCTTCTCTATTTCTTGGTTTTGCCTCAGAAACTGCATTTTTGATGTCACCCCACAAGTTTTCTATTGGATTAAGATCCGAGGATTGGGCTGGCCACTCCATAACGTCAATCTTGTTGGTCTGGAACCAAGATGTTGCATGTTTACTGGTGTGTTTGGGGTCGTTGTCTTGTTGGAACACCCATTTCAAGGGCATTTCCTCTTCAGCATAAGGCAGCATGACCTCTTCAAGTATTCTGATGTATTCAAACTGATCCATGATCCCTGGTATGCGATAAATAGGCCCAACACTGTAGTAGGGTCATCATGCATGATTAATTGAACCATGTATCATGCAGCAAGGGTCACCAACGTTCAGACTGAATATGTATGAATAGATAGAACAGTATAAAAAAAGCAGGAGGCACAACAGGTCCATTAAATACACTCACCTATTCGCCATCAACTGTAAGATTTGGACCAGAAATTTCCCTACTCCTTTCCTGCGGACACGAACTTCTAACTGTACCTCATAACTAGAAAAAAAAAAAAAAAAAAATACAGTGGGGAACTAATTTAATCAGGAAAAGTGTTGATAGCGCACAGCTACACAAAAACAAAAAAATGATACTGCAATAAATACCAAGATGTAATTTACAGTGCATCGTTGCACATGCAGACCATGTTTTCTAACACATGTAAGAGTGAAAGGTGATGGGTCAAATTATAACACACACAGTGTTGCCAAAAGTATTGGCACGCCTGCCTTTACACATACATAAAGTTTAATGGCATCCCAGTCTTATTCCTTAGGGTTCAATATTGAGTTGGCCCACCCTTGGGAAGGCCTTCCACAAGGTTTAGGAGTGTATCTATGGGAATGTTTGACCATTCTTTCCAGAAGCACATTTGTGAGGTCAGGCACTGATGTCGGATGATAAGGCCTGACTCGCAGTCTCTACTCTAATTCATCCCAAAGGTGTCCTATCGGGTTGAGGTCAGGACTCTGTGCAGGCCAGGCAAGTTCCTTCACCCCAAACTCACTCATCCATGTCTTTAGGGACCTTGCTTTGTGGACTGGTGCGCAATCATGTTGGAACAGGAAGGGGCCATCACCAAACTGTTCCCACAAAGTTGGGAGCATGAAATTGTCCAAAATGTCTTGGTATGCTGATGCCTTAAGAATTCCCTTCACTGGAACTAAGGGGCCAAACCCAACCCTTGATACACAACCCCACACCATAATCCCCCTCCACCAAACTTTACACTTGGCACAATGCAGTCAGGCAAGTACCGTTCTCCTGGCAACTGCCAAACCCAGACACGTCCATCAGATTGCCAGACAGAGAAGCATGATTGGTCACTCCAGATAACACGTCTCCACTGCTCTAGAGTCCAGTGGCGGCGTGCTTTACACCACTGCATCCGATGCTTTGCATTGCACTTGGTGATGTAAGTCTTGGATGCAGCTGCTCGGCCATGGAAACCCATTCCATGAAGCTCTCTATGCACTGTTGTTATGCTAATCTGAAGGCCACTGGAAGTTTGGAGGTCTTTAGCTATTGACTCTGCAGACAGTTGACGGCTTCTGCGCACTGTGCGCTTCAGCATGTCATTTTACGTGGCTTACCCCTTGAGTTGCTGTTGTTCCCAGTTGCTTCCACTTTGTTATAATCTCACTAACAGCTGACCGTGGAATATTTAGTAGCAAGGAATGATCACGGATGGATTTATTGCACAGGTGGCAACCTATCACGGTACCACGCTTGAATTCACTGAGCTCCTGAGAGCGACCCATTCTTTCAAAAATGTTTGCAGAAGCAGTCTGCATGCCTGGGTGCTTGATTTTATACACCTGTTGCCATGGAGGTGATTGGAACACCTGAATCCAATGATTTGGATGGGTGTCCCAATGCACTTACTATCACCAGTGCAGTACAGTGTCATCATATGACTAATGTGGCAGTGATCAGGGACATTTGTGACAGTATATGTAAAAAAAAAAAAAAGTATTCCATTTTTTAAACAGTTCTCTTTCTTTTACATACTGTTATTAGAGTAGTTCAGTGTCACCATAGTGTCACTGTACTACTCTGGTGGGGGGTGATCAGGGTTTTTTTTTTTTTTTTACACTGTTATTGTTTGCAACAGTGATGATCACTGTTATAAGCAATAGTTAGCCGTCATGAATTGCTTTCCAATTCATGATAGTTTGCTTTCTATTGACATGCTGTGATTGGCTACAGCTAATCACATGGTACAGTCAGGTAACAAACCAGTCACAGTCAGTGTGATCCCTTTCATTTTTTATGGGCTGTCTGCATGCAGCTCATCTGTGAAAAAAAGTAAACAAATGTCTCTGGCTGCTGCATGGGACTGAGTACCCATGTGAACCAGTTTGACATACCTGACCTAACTCCTGCCTATTCTGCCGAAATCAAATTAAATTGTTTAGAATGGTGGGTCTCTTTTGGTGGGTCTCTTGTCAGAAGGGCATTTGACAGGCAGCCCACACCCCAACTGCATGCATTGCACGTGGCTGTCTTGTCAACTGGGGGAGTGCTTGGACGGCAGTAAAAATGCAGCACAATTGTGTGTTTTTACCACCCTCATCAATCACAAGTGTAAGCCTAGCCTTGCTACTGTGAAGCTTCTGTGAATCTTGTGATTGAGACAATGGCTACTTCTATTCTGCAGGGACCAGATGAGATTCATCTATGGGCAGGCTGATTGTACCTAAGTCGATCCAACAATCAACTTGGGTACAACCAGCCTGTCGAATTTCAAGCACAATATTACTGCCAGCAGCTATTGCCGTAAGCAGGGCCATGGATAAGTGGGTACCACCAGTCCTCCTGTATGGGGCCCAGGCCAGAAGGGGGACCCAGGTAGTTGGGGAAATTGGATGTGGGCAGGAAGGGTGATCGGCACAGCATGTGTGTGTGTGGGGGGGGGGGGGGCAATTACTGGAACCGATCCCCTGTATGGTTCTCTCTGCTGCAGCTGAGAGCTGGCTCTTTTCCTCCCACTCTTGCTGGTTTTCAGCTGCTTCATAGGCAGACATACAGGGGATCGGTTCCAGTAATTGCCCCCCCCCCCCCCCCACACCACACCCATCACCCTCCCTGTGCACCAGAGGTTTCCCCTTTCAGGATGGAGAGTGGGGGAAGATTCCAGTAAATATGTCACATTTACCAGCCCCTTCCTTTCCTGAATGACCACGATGAGTGATCGGTATAGATCACTCACTGTGTTCATTTATAACTAAAGCATAGTAAACTGTTTTTTTAGGGGGGGGGGCATGTTGGCTGTACGGGGCCCCGTGGTTTCTAACAGCAGCCCTGGCCATAAGCAGTAATCAGTGTGTTCTCCCGGCAGGGACGGCTCCCGTGTCCCCCTGCCAGGAGAACACAATAGCTCTGCTGGAAGGATTCCCCCATCAACACTGACTGTGTTGATGGGGGAATCAAGCAATTTTCTTGGTGGTTGCAGGAAAGCAAGTCTCATCTATGGCTTGGCTTGCTTTACAGCGCTCTCAGATGGGGATTTTTATTTGTCAGCAATCAACATTTACAAGACACTATACAGCTGCATTCTCCTTTCTTTGCTGCTTTGATTAATAATACTGTATAACAGGATACAAAGTCATGGCTCTATATCGTCTACATTACTATATTCAGTCTTTTTTTTTTTTTTTTTTTTTTTGAATGCAGCCAACCTCCATCACAAGGTCAGACAAACAGTCATTACTGCAGAGACTCTATTATTTTTAGTACGCAATGTAGATGAGATTAAAAGGGCTGCCCTGTGAACCTCAGTAATTACAAACTATACATAGAAACCTAATTTTTAAATACACTGACACACATTGCTAAGGTTGTTTAAATTACAGAGATCTCTTTTCACATCTAGATCTAATAAGTTATTAAAAGTCCTTGTGTTACTAAACCCAGGACCCTGCATTCGCTATATCTGGTCTCCCACAGTACACAGAACATGGAAATACAATTATTTTAGTAAATATATACTGCCAAATACCTTTTCTAATCAGCAGCACATAGCAGTCTTCTGACTTCTATCACTGTCCAGCTGAGCACTGGTTAATCTTATAGGAGGAATTTTCATTCTCCTCTGACTGTCCCTTGAGACTGTATTACCCCTGACCCTCTGTCTGGACAGTGTTGAGTGGCCCTGTGGTGATCACATGCATCCCCCCCCCCCCCAAAAAAAAAAAAATCTTTAGCACTCTACACCAAACTGAGCACGTGCAGAGCATCTCATAGGGCTCTGTACTATCAGCAGATGGACTAAGGACTGTGGAAGAAGGGGAGGATCAGAGAAGACAGGATAAAACAGCCTTTTTACATAATGTGGAGGATTAACCCCTTATATTTCACAGTGAGTATAACAAGCATGCTTGAGGTTCCGTTCACACCTATGATGTTTGCTTTTTGCCCGTTTTGCAGTGCTTTTTGCCCGTTTTGCAGTGCTTTTTGCTTGTTTTACAGTGCGTTTAGCCTGTTTTGCGTGCTTTTCGCAGTACGTTTTGCATTTTTTTACATGCTTTTTTGACATATTTTTGATGCATTTTGTTCAGCTCTTTTTTCTTTTTTTTTTAAGTGGATTTGTTTGTTTTTTTGCTGGACAGAATACAAATGAAAACCGGCAAAAATGCACTACCATGCATTTCAGCAGATTCTCCATTGAACTTTATTGTAGCAAAAACACTGCTTTTTGCTTTTAAAAAAAAGTCCCTGACCCTTTCCAAAAACATAGCAGCTCAAAAAAGCATAGATGGGAACGTGTTCCATAGGAGACCATGTTACATGGACTGTAGTGCGTTTCAGCAAAAAGCACTAAGAAACTCATTGGTGTGAATGGAGCCTGACTGCATATACAGACTGATTTAAATATAGTGCAGCACTAAAATATATCAGAGACAAAAGGGACAATTGTTGTATAAATTAGTTCGTAGCCGGTGTCAAAAAACATGAATCCTTATTCCAACCGGAAACTGGTGTTTGTGCAGTCAGAAGTGATAAAATGCGCACTCACCAGAGCGCATAATCAAATGCACATTTGTATATAAATATCCTGAAGTCACTAAGGATCATCAAGGTCTGATCAGGAATGGAGATGAATCGCTCACTGAATACGCCTGGATCTTGTAACCTCTGGTGTGTGATGTCGAAGTAACCGGGGACATTTTAGGGATGGACAGGTCAGCTCACCGGGTGTATGGGAATCCTTACTGCGAGTCCTCCTTGATAGCCTGTGACAGGCTTAATGCGCTTTTGTTCACTAATAGAAACATTTATTACATAGTATGAGGTATGGTGGGTATCTCTCAGCCAGCTCCACGTCTCATATCCTTCCTGGGATCTCTCTCTCATGCAGACTGATTTTAATGTTGTGGGTTTAGTATCACTTGAAGATGGACAAAGAGGTATACGTATATTAGCTTTTTGTCTCAGCTTTATAAAGGAAACTTGTACTTAAGTATATAAATTGGTATTGTTTTATTCTGTTTTGGAAAATACTAGATGCTTGGCTGTTAAGCTGTTTAATAGCAATACTGTATGCATTGCAGTAAGCCTGTTCACACCCAGATGCGTTCATAAACGTGTTCCAAACCCATGGACGATAAAAATGAATGGTTTGCAATAAGTGTAGTTCACACCATCAATAGACAAGAAAGAAAGGAGGATTCTGTGAGGTTATTCCCCCGTCCTATATTTCATAAACTAAGCAAAGGGCTTTGTAGCAAAAGGATTTGAAGGGCATATCCACAAAGGAAAATGGTAACACAGATAACAAACAATAAAAGTAGATGTTTTATTATACAAAAATGAAAAGGATACGCATGTGACCATCTCCATGCATTAAAGAGGGTTCACATATCTCATATATACAATTCCTGTTGCCAAATGAATCAGTCCATATGAAAGATCAACGCGTTTCAAGCACTCGCTGTCTTCCTCAGGATCTAAAATCTACAAACGTATGATACATAATTATCATCATCATCATCAGATGTGCATTATTATCATCCCCTTTGCATCTAGCTGATTTATTACTCTTTACATCACCCACACTCAGTATGTTTCCACTCCTGCATCTGTGATATGGAGGCTCACCTTCGTATTTACTTGATGTATGGATCCACCCTCCCCCTTATTCTCCTCCCCCTCATTCCCTTTATCCCCCTCCACTCCTGTCTCCGCCTTAGCGGCGGACCCCTCCACCATTTATCACATGGTTCCCAGCCCAATTAAGAGAGGACACAGGCTGCACACATACACTGGCTCTGAGGAAGAGGTACACCCTCGAAACGCGTCAGCCACAAGCTATCTAGAGGTCTCCAGTCCCCCACCAGATCACTTCCAGGGGTTTTGGACCACATTGCATCCTTTGTGACATGTTTTCCATTTGATTTTATTTCTCCTGTGAGTGTTTTACCATTTATAATAAATCTCATTGGCGCCGGCGCCTCCCAGCCCTCTAAGGGTTTCAGGAGCCAGGAAGCGGGACAGGGTTTAGGGTCATGTGACCACCGTGACATGCTAGTCACATGTTCGGGAAAGGTCCCGATCGAAAGAGGAGATCGGGACTTATCCGTGAGTACCAGACATGTATGCTGGGAGCGCGCAAGGCGCGCGCTCTCAGCACATATGTTTTTCTTAATTGCACACAAATGTGCGGCCACTCGGCGTCAAGGCCCAGTCGCCGGGAGGCCGCACATTTGCGTGCGGCCGGCGCCAAGAGGTTAAAGGTAATGCACTAGGCCCGTGTGCCCTCTCTTTGTTTCTTATATACATAATTA